TACCTGCAGAAAAATGAAGCAAGACCCTTATCTTACTCTATGCACAAGAATAAATTCAAAGTGGATCACAGACCTTGAAGTTAAACCCCAAACAATTAGGGCCATCCATGAGGGAATTGAGACCAACTTGAGAACTTTGGCACAGGGAATACATAGGCTATCAGAAATAGGAAAGAACACAAACACAGAGGAGGCACAAATTGACAAATGGGATATACTGAAGATTGTAACTCTTATGATAGTAGAAAAGCCTCCTTTCTCCTGTGGAGTAGCTGGTAGTGTCTGTTGACTTAACTGTTGTGGTGGTTACTACTAGTAGCCTAACATGTAACCCAGTGTACCACTTGGGCTCCTTTGGCAAAGCTAAGCTACTGATTAAAAAAAAAGATCAATTGATCGGATTACTTTATGCTCTACTCATGCTTAGTTTATACTAGTTTAAAGGAGGGAGGTTCAGTCTTGAGACTTTACTGGTGTCATGGAGTTGCTATGGGTAGTGAAATGAGTTCAAGAATATGAAATTCACGTTGAAGAACTTCTCCCTCACTGCTGAGAAGGTAATGAAGCAGCTTGGAAGATAATAGTGGTTTTCTATGACTCCATTTAGGGCAATAGAAAGAGGGGAAGAGTTCAGATGGGGGTGGGGGGAGGGGATGTTCTTTATGTTCTCAGTGCCATGCCCTAATTTAGGCACAACCAGGCTTATCCTTCAGTGTAAGAGAAGAAACAGAAACTATGGTTTCCTTTCTACTGGTTTCTCTTTGTGATAGTCCTATGACAATCCAGTGTGCTTTTTGTGTTGTTTGTTTTTATGTCATTAAGCCATTACTGAGAATAAATAAAATCTCTAGAATCCTATTTTATAACCCCTTTCCAAAGAATCTCTGAACCAAAGCTATTACCATCGAGTCAATTCTGAATCACAGTGACCCTATAGGACAGAGCAGAAGAGCTCCATAGTTTCTGAGGCCGAGAATCTATGGGAGAATGGGTGGTGGGTTTGACTACCGATTTTGTGGTTAGCAGCCCCACGATGCCACCATAACCCACAATGCCACCGGGACTTTAAGAAGGTTATGCATAATAAAACCTCATTTTTCCTAAACTCCTTATATATTCTGTACTATTCTGATTTTTAAATCTTTTTTTTTTTAATGATTGTAGTCTCAACTGATTAAGTCCCTTACTATCAGGAACTATTTCTTCTTCTTTTTTGCATATATTTTAGCATCTAGAATGCTGCTGAGTGCTTAGAAATGAAAGTACTGAGATAACTGGCATTGCTTCTTTCTTTTCTTAATCATTTTATTAGGAGCTCATACAACTCTTCGCAATCCATACATACATCAACTGTGTGAAGCACATTTGTACATTCATTGCCCTCATCATTCTCAAAATATTTGTTCTCCACATAAGCCCCTGGCATCAGCTCCTCATTTTCCCCTTCCTTCCCCAGCCCCCCTCCCTCATGAACCCTTGATAATTTATAAATTATTATTTTGTTGTATCTTGCCCTGTCCAATGTCTCCCTTCACCCACTTTTCTGTTGTGCATCCCCCAAGGAGGAGGTCACATGTAGATCCTTGTAATCGGTTCCCCCTTTCCAACTCACTCTGCCTCTACCCTCCCAGTATCGCCACTCACACCACTGGTCCTGGAGGGATCATCCGCCCTGTATTCCCTGTGTTTCCAGTTCCCATCTGTAGCAGTGTACATCCTCTGGTCTAGCCAGACTTGCAAGGTAGAGTTCGGATCATGATAGTGGGCAGGGGGAGGGGAAGCATTTAGGAACTAGAGGAAAGTTGTATTTTTCATCGTTGCTACATCGCACCCTGACTGGCTCGTCTCCTCCCCAAGACCCCTCTGCAAGGGGCTCTCCAGTGGCCTACAAATGGGCTTTGGGTCTCCACTCTGCACTCCCCACCTCATTCACTATGGTAAGATTATTTGTTCTGATGATGCCCGATACCTGGTCTCTTCGATACCTCGTGATCACACAGGCTGGTGTGCTTCTTCCATGTGGGCTTTGTTGCTTCTGAGCTAAATGCCCACTTGTTTACCTTCAAGCCTTTAAGACCCCATTCGCTATATCTTTTTTTTAAACATTTGATTAGGGGCTCATACAACTGTTATCGCAATCCATACACACATCAATTGTGTAAAGTGCATTTGTACATCATTCTCAAAACATTTTCTCTCCACTTAAACCCCCGACATTAGGTCCTCATTTTTCCCCTCCCTCCCCGCTCCCCCCTCCCTCATGAGCCCTTGATAGTTTATAAATTGGTATTTTGTCATATCTTGCCCTGTCCGACGTCTCCCTTCACCCACTTTTCGGTTGTCTGTCCCCCAGCAGACGCTATATGTTTTGATAGCTGGGCACCGTCAACTTCCTTCACCACATTTGTTTATGCACCCATTTGTCTTCAGCAATCGTATCATGGAGGAGCATTGTTTCTTTCATGGGATTTTCTTACCCTCCATTTAAGACCTCAGAGGGAAATTTTTATGTGTAGGGCCAGCTGGTGGGTAAGTAACCTTTGAAACATGAAAGTTTATTTTACTTTTTTTTAACTTTCCTAGATCTTACAATTATGTATGATTAAATATTTTAGAAAACACTTAAGAAAGGTAAAAGGAAACATTACCATGTTAACGGTTTACTAGTTCTCCTCTATTTTGCTTTTTACCCATTTTGGGTTTAACTTTTATAATAAGTTTTGAGTAGCCAAAAAAATCTTAGACTGAAGAGAGGAGAAGCAGGTCCGTGCCTTACTTAAGAACTGATGATGGAATCTGCTGAGAGATGATGTGAAAGAGTTGAGTGTGCCTTGCTTTCTTTTCTCCATAGCTGTTTTTTAGAGTGACAGATGATCGGGCCAAGCAATCTGAACTGTACTTAGTGGGAATGATCTGTTACTATGGCAAACATTATTCCACATTCTTTTTCCAAACAAAAATCCGCAAATGGATGTATTTTGATGATGCTCATGTCAAGGAGGTAAGAATATTCAAGGACTTCTTTTAAAATAATAATTGTATTGCATTTTTGTTATCATTGCTGAAAATATGCTCAGCAAAACATACACTAATGCAACAGTTTCTATATAGACCATGTAGTGACTATATAAGTTACACAGCCATTCTCACTGGCCTCTTCTCAGGTACTTCATTTGGGGGCTTGAGAGAGGCAACAAGGAGTTTTATTATTGTTATTGCAGTTTTAAAACGTATTGGATAGTACTTTCATTTGATTCACAGAGAATGAGGTATAGTGACTGTTTTGGTGAAATGAGTTCCTTTATGTGGTCTTTTACTTTGGTTGTTTGGGAAAACAGCTTCTCAAGAAATATTAGTGTTTGCAAAACAAAACAACACTAACTGAAAACAATACACGATAAGTTATTTGTTTTCATGATTTTGAACTCTATCTCCTCCCACTTGTGATCTCTATAAGACATACTTTATATATTATTATCAAATTTATCAGGGTATCAGCTTTATTTTCCCAAATAGTTGGTAAGTTTCTGGAGGATATAATTAATATAAACTCAAAAATCCATTGCTATTGAGTTGATGCTGACTCATAGTGACCCTACAAGACAGAACAGATCTCCTCCATAGCATTTTCAAGGCTGTAAATCTCTACAGAAGTCGACTGCCTCAGCTTTCTCCCAGGAAGCTGCTGGTGGGTCCAAATTGTCGATCTCTCAGTGAATAACACAGCACGTAATACTCCATGTATCTTCTGTGGTTTTCCCTGAATCTCTTCACCATACAGTTAGCACAGTTTTGGTTGTTCTTTTAAATTTTTGGGCGGTTTGAGTAGGAGCAGTTTATTGCCCCAAGTGAGGTTTTAAGGTGAGCCCAAAGTTCAGAATTCCAAGTGTCAGAATTGCCAATGGATAATGCTTTCTTACAAACTGCCTCAAATTATTCTCTAATTATTATTTCCCTGAAGTGCCCTATCAGACTTTAATATCTTTTGGGATAGGATAGGAAGAAACGGCTATGATGGTATTTAAAGCATAAAAAATGGTACTGTCTAAACCACATAGTCTATGACCAAAGTGGTTCAAGTGATCTGTAGGAATGAGGTGCCCCTAGTGATAAGGTTACCAATTTGGGGAGTGGGAGAAAGGCTAACATAGCATGCATCAATCAATGGGCTGTAATCAACTTTCTTCCCCTAAGGGTAGTCTTTGCCTAGCTCTCTGATTTTCATCTTTATCTCTTTTGTTGTTGTTGTAATTTTGGGCAACTTATATAAATTCTCTGAGCTTTGAAATTTTTTTCTTAATTTGTAAAGTAATACCTGTTTTAAAAGACATTAAGTAAGATTTGCATGTGAAAAACATATAAATGTGTTTTAATTAAATCAATGAAAATTTATCAATGTACTGAACATCTATATGAGCAAACACTGCTAGTTGTCAACTCCAGGAGCACACCATATAAGAATATTGCTGGGGGGAAAAATATATTGCTGGTTCGAGAACTCACTGGCCTCTGTTCCAGGTCTGTGCTGACAGTTTCCCCATGACTTGTCTTTGTCCAGTTGAAGACTTATTAAACAGGAGTTTCTAAAGTGATGGTGTTGAGGAAATGTTGGATTGCAAACCACAGGGTCAGCAGTTCAAGCTTACCAGCTCCTCTGCAAGAAGAAAGTGAGGCTGTCGTCTCTCCTGATGCTTATGAATAACCGCCTCTGAAACTCCAGATGGTGTTGTTAGGAGTCTAGATAGACTTAATGACAGTGGGTAAAAGATGAAGACTGAATAAAAGGGGTTTTATAAATAAAACATTTTAAAAAAGCAGAAACAGAAAATAATATGCCTGGTTCAAACCCAGAAGAGGGTGGTTTGCTGATTTGTTTGGATGGTTGTTTCCATGACTATTCCATTACTCTACTCAACTGCAGTAGCGGAGCTGCCTCCCGCACAGTGCTAAGATCAGGAGGCCCAGGTGTCTATTGTAAGCAGAGTGACATTTTATGCCCTGCCTTCATGAACTCAGAAACTGGTGTCCTTTTCTCTCAGGCAGTTTGCGAGAGAGTCTTTGCCTTTAGTTTCATAAAAGTGACTTTAATGTTTAGGAGAAAATTACGGAAACGTGAATTTCAAATGAGGACTTTTCTATGATATCTGTCAGCAGAAATTGGACACCAAAACAGCTAACGCCCTCTCACATAGCATATTCACCTTCAAGACTGCCCATTCATGTTTCACAGCTCAATGGTATTTCATAGGAATAACAATAATTTCATTCATCCTCTTTCTCTTATTTTGATTTTAATACTTTCTAAAGAGACTTAACAATTCTGTAAGTTTAGATTTAACATTTCTTTTGTTGTCTCTTTACCCAATTCCTGGCTTTCCATCTGTTTGATTTTCTTTAGGGAAAAAACAAACAAACAAGAAGATAGTTTTTTGAATTGTGACTATGAAGTGTAATTATTATGTTCCTTTGCTTGTTTGTGGTTCAGATTGGGCCCAAATGGAAGGACGTGGTGACCAAATGCATCAAGGGACATTATCAGCCTTTGCTGTTGCTTTATGCAGACCCCCAGGGGACTCCAGTATCCACCCAGGACCTGCCTCCTCAAGTTGAATTCCAGTCATATAGCAGGACATGCTATGATAGTGAAGACTCAGGTAAGCTGCCTACTTCTCCATCTCCTACCGGCCATCCCATGTGATCATTCGGTGTATGGGACTCATAATTAGTTAGGAGCTTAGAGAAAGAAGGGCCAACTTCTAATAAAGTCTCAATTGTGCCAGGCTTTGTTTCTTTCCACTTTCAAGAATATATTGCTTAATCACCTGGGCACCCAATTCAAAAGTAGAAAGAAATTGTTGATTTAGACTGAGCTATTTCATTTGTGGAGGAACAATCAGTGCTTTACTTTGCAATAATGATAAAGAAGAGGAATTCATACATCTCTTCAACTGTGACAAATGAGTTGTTAAAACCAAGAAAAATAATTTTGAGCTGTTATAAAGCTAGACAGTTTGCTTGGGATAAGAGATTTATATTTAAAAATTCCAAACACAGTAACATATTCTTCCATTTATCAATAGGTCAGTTTACTTCTAAGTCAGTTTTTTGAAACTGAAAACAGGCTTTCCTATAGAAACATTTTCAACTTGATAGTGAGCTCCCTCCCAGTATAGTCCAAAGAGGATCATAATATATTTGAATGTATAGCCCTGATACTTTGGCTTGACTTCTGAAAAAGAGGAAGAACGAATGGTCCTTTTCCTCGTCTGGATTCAGCCTTGGCCCTGAGTATAATTTTGAAAAAAGAGATACCTTTGAAGTCTTTCTCCATCCCTTTTGTTACCTCCTTCTCACTTGGTACCTGGTGCTCCCCACTCAGGGGCCCCACCCAGACCTGACCAGCCTACTTCTTTCAACCCATTTCTTCTACTTTGCATATCTCAGAAGAAAGTAGTCCTACTGAAATAATTCATATTGAAGTATAAATAACAGTCTCATAAATCTCAAAGCTATTGAAATGCTTAATAATGTTAGGTGAAAAAAATTTCAAATGGCATTTCTAGCAATATAGAAGAAAGCTTATGTGATAGGGGAATAATTAGTTACATGTATCAGGTCAGCCTGGGTCTCTCCATTTAATTAGATCTTACTTTTCAAACCTTTTGCTTCCTCCCATTCCCCTCACCTCAAGGTTTTCTGACAGTCTCACAGTTTTTCACAGTGGCAGGCAAAGTGAGGGCTTCAGCAAGGTAGGGTCAGAGTTGGGAGGGATTGTTTGTGTCTCTGGAAATGGGTGTGTCTATGGACATGCTTATCACCTCCTATCCAGGAAAGTTCTTGTCACCTGGACCTTGGTTACCGTCTCTCTGCCTTCTCCCTGTCACTGTCCTCCTTTTCCTCACTTTTGCTATGTGTCTCCTCCTTCCTCAGGGAGGGAGCCCTCCATCTCAAGTGACACTCGAACAGATTCTTCAACGGACAGCTATCCCTACAAACACTCCCATCACGAGTCTGTGGTCAGTCACTTCTCTTCTGATTCTCAGGGGACAGTCATCTATAATGTGGAGAATGATTCCATGTCTCAGAGCAGTCGGGACACAGGTAGGACAAAAGACCCTGATTGCTTAATTCACTTCCTGCATAGAGGGTCTTCTAGGAAAAGAATTTGGAGCAAGTCCTAAATGGTTGCCAGGCAAAGGGAGGACAGCAAATTTGGGGTAATTGAGTGGGATACAAAGAAGCAACATATTTCTGAGTGGCTGATGATGCTCCATTGTACAGATGCTAACAACAGCAGCATGCCAGTAAGTACCATTGCAATTGTAATTGTTGTAATGATGTGTTCTGAAATCAGCTTTCTCCTATTTTCCTTTCGATTTTAATCTTCCCATGGTGCCCCACTAATTCCTTGTGTCCTTCACCTTGTCATATTTTCGTGTTGGGCTTCATCTTGACTGAAGGACTTTGAAAGAAGGGATATATTTATGGGCAGGATATATTTTGGACCAGTTTATCAGCTTGTCAGGCTTCCCAAAGGCCAGATGAGCAAAATAATGGAAGGTAGCTGTTTGTTACTGTGAGTCCCCTAAAGGGGATGTTCTTGAGTTGTTTTGTTACTGTAGAGAACAATGTGCTCCCATCAGTGGAGAGCGTAAAGTAGAGAGCATCAGGTGACTATTAAGAGGATGGTTCATTACGGGATATAGACACATAGGGCACTTGTGAATTAGTGAGTTCATGGCTTCATATTATGGTTTATGCCTTGTGTGTGTCTTTATATTCTGCATACGGAATTTTTATATTGAAAGGTATGCAGAATCATGTAATGCCGCTCCATGTACCCATCACTAAGTTTTACCAATTAAACTCAGGTTCATCTGGTTGCACCTGCATCTCTATCTGCTTCCCTCATTCCTGACTTATTGTGAAGCAAATCCCAGACATCATTTAATTTCTTCCTTGAGAGTCATAGCTTTTAATGGTTTGTGTATTTGACTCAGAATCCAAATGAGGGCTACACTTGGTAATGGGTTGATGAGTCTTTTATGTTTCTTTTAATTAGTTGGTTTCCTCCTTTCTTTTTTTTTTTCCTTTTAAATTATTGTTGAAGACTCTAGGTGTAGTTTGTCTTAGAGATTGCCTGGTATGAATTTTGCTGGTGACATCCCAGGTGTAGTTTAACATGTTCCTCTGTCTCCTGTATTCTATTTTTTTGGGGTGGGGTGGGGTGGTAAATTGGTAGCTGTATGTAGAGATTTGTCAGATTTATCTTGGATTTTTCTGATGACAACTGCATAGATTGTATTAGGTGTGAATTTGATTTATTTATGAAATTTAACCAAGATAAAGTGAATTTTTGAGGTAAACCAATTTTATGTTAAGGGTGTGTGTTTGTATTTGACGGGAAAAAGGGTTGTGTCCTATTGGCTTAACATTTGTAACACTTAGTTGCTCCAATTGATTCCCTCCTTTTTAAAACCTTTCTTGGTAGAAGTAGGAAAGGGATCAGACCAGAGCAAAACAGACTACATTGGGCAGTTGATTGGAAGTATGTATACATATCATTACATTGCTGATGCCTGAATGTGTTAAAGAATTTTCATATTCTCACATATGAAAACAAATTTGTAGTAGCCCTCAGTACATTTAAGAACCTAGAAGTGTCTTGTAAGCCTGTCTTGTATTGTAATTGAGCTGTTTAATTTGCCCCTGCCTTCCTGCAGTTTAATTCTAATATCCTTTAGAATATGCTTCCTTATGTGGAACACTGACCTTTATTGCTCTCAATTCAGTCGTACATTCATATACTATGAGCATGAAGCAGAACAAGATACATACTCATAAATGAGCTAGGTCACTGATTGCTGTTAAATCAATTCCTATTTATGACTCCCCCCTCCCCTCCGTGTATCAAAGTATAACTATGCAATATCCATGTATTATCTTTCAGATCATCAGTTCTGCATTCAACAGTGTAACCAAAGCCCCCCAATAGTTTATCTTCACTCACTCCTTGCTTTCTCTCCACCTACTTCCATTTCATTCAAGTTAACACCCCTGTTTCATAGGGATTTTGATGACTAAGTGTTCAAAAGTAGATCTCCAGGCCTCTCTTCTGAGGCTGACTAGCAGCGAGTGCATTTAGCATTTACATCACCCCATACTCCTCCCAGTGACTAGTGTTGAGGGATTGTGGAGTTTCATTTCTCAGTGGAACCAAGTTTGTTGAACATGTCTTGGGCATGGGAATGTGAATTACTCAAAGTTGAAGTGTCCTTTTAAAAGACCCACATCTAATGAATGTTTAGACCTGGCCCTCCAAGCTATACACGGTCAGACAGTCAGCGCTCTTGTGGTCCAAAAGGACTAGGGCACCTGTGATAATATCAGCTGTACCGAAAACTAGACGTGGCAGGTATTGCTAAAATAATTAGTCAAAAATAAAAGGGGAAGCTTGTCCTTAAATTACCAGAATGAAAATATTTAGGCATGCGATTTTTATATAATCTTTATACAGCCTTTAGATTTTTTACTTTTTCAAAACTGCCAACTAATGTGTCCTTTGCCCTTTGGAGCTATTAGAAAAGGCTGTGGGCTAGAAGAGAGGCTGGTTCTTGCTCAGGAGACACTGTGAAATTGGAAGCTCCCATTGAATGCTTGAACTTCTCTGCACTTACCTACTGCATGATTCCCGCTAGACTTCAATCAGATAGCCTTAAAGCTTCCGCTTCTGGCCTAGGGGTACCCTGATTGTGTGCTGCTGCCTTGGATCCCAAAGGGAGACTGTTCTCAAGGGGAGAGTAGTCAGTCTCAGATACCGGCTCACTCCCATTCCTTTGTTCTTTCAGGACACCTGACTGATAGTGAATGTAACCAGAAACACACATCCAAGAAAGGGTCACTGATCGAACGCAAGAGGAGCTCCGGCAGGGTTAGGAGGAAAGGTGATGAGCAGCAGGCCTCAGGGTACCACAGCGAAGGCAAGCCACTCTGCATTATGCCTCTCTCTTTAGTCACTGCATGCGTTTCTGTCACACTCTCTGACCCTGGCTTCTCCTTTCTGCTCAAAGGGGCTTATCCTTACATTCTCCACTTTTGGGTCTGGGTGCCTGTTTACTGTAAACACCTGTATTTGTCTTACTGTGTGCTTTTAGGAGAAACACTGAAAGAGAAGCAGGCTCCAAGGAATGCCTCCAAACCAACCAGTGGGATCAATAGGCTAAGAGACTTTAAAGAGACAGTCAGTAATATGATCCATAACCGGCCATCTGTGGCTTCTCAGACCAACCTGGGATCCCCCTTTGGGGGCAGGGGAAGAGACCAGCCTGGAAAAAAGCTGCCTAGGAACCTGCCCTTGCACTCCCACGACTGGGAAGCAGAGAGTACCAGCAGTGAGTCCAAATCCAGCTCTTCTAGCAAGTATCGTCCAACGTGGAGACCGAAACGGGAGTCTCTGAATATTGATAGTATCTTTAGTAAGGACAAAAGGAAGCACTGTGGCTACACCCAGCTTAGCCCTTTTTCTGAGGATGCAGGTGAGGGGATGATTAGCAAAGAATTGAGCTTTCTAGTTGATTTATGTATTTAAAAACACAGGCTTTCTGATAGTCTTGGGGAAGTGCATCTTTTATTCGGATGTTGTGCATTTGGGGATATGAGTTCAATGAATGAGTAGCTGGAGGGAGGGATGGTCTCTTGATTTTAGGCAGATACTAAGTGTACCTCCTTTTCCAAACTTGTCCTTTGATTGGAGTAGCTAAAGAATTGACACCAGATGAACTAAACAAGCCACCTGCTTTTGCCAGTAAAGCTGGGGGACCAAGCCTCCGCTGTAAGTCCTGGGGCCCAGCTCGACCAGGCTCTCACCTCCTAGAGCAGCACCCCCGTCTCATCCAACGAATGGAATCTGGCTACGAGAGCAGCGAGAGGAACAGCAGCAGCCCTGTCAGCCTGGATGCAGCAGTGCCTGAAAACTTGAATGTCTGCAGGTATTGTTTGGCCCTTGAGTAGAGAGAGGCCTTCTCCCTTGAAGCAGTGCAAACCATCTTTTGGAGGCTTTGCATGGTGGCTCAGACTAGGGGAGAGGTGGATTTTGTTCCCATCTTGTGGACAAGCAAAGTACTGCACAGCAACAGTACCCTCTGAGGGGAGAGAGTGTCAAAGGCACTTGAGAAAGCAAAGCCCTGTCAATTTAAAGTGTGGTATGTAAAGCAGTTATATAGCAAGCAACTTTGAATGAAAGAATGAATTAGCGAATCAAAATTTCTATAATCCTAATCAGAGAGAGGGGAGAAGAAATCTATTGTTATTTATCTTACTTCCATCTTGGGATAGGATTTTTTTTTCCTCCTCTTCCTTTTTAAGGGTCTCTGGGGATCCTGTGTTTTATGAAAAAGCCAATAATGCTCCGAATCTTGTAAAATGATATTTCATTAGAGCTTATTGTGTCCTTCTCGCTCTGTGAATTTCAGATCTCTGTACATTGTTTTTAGTGATGTGCCACAGACAAGGATGCTTGTTTTGAGAAGAGTGACTGAAAAGGGTGGTAACTCTATCCTCCTCTCCATTGCTGTTCCCTAACCACAGGCCCCTGAGAACATCCTGAAAATATGCCACAAAGGTGTAAGAGAGAGGAAGGCAGTCTATAGGAGAGCTTATTTTCATTCAGTAAATTTTGAATGTCTGCTATATGCTAGACATTGTGCTAGATGCATAAGATGTGATGGAAGTGAGATAAGACGTGGTCTGAATCGCAATTTCATTTGTTCAGATTTAGTTTAGCAAAATCTTTAATTAGATCAGTTCAATGTTTTGCTGTTTTTATTGAAGGAATTTAATCCTAGGATTTTTGCTAGTTACCACCGTCAGATGCTTTTACTGGACTCTGGGCTCTCTTTTGAAGGGACGCAAGTGCTAAGAGATCAGCTGGGTTGGTCCCTGCCTGGCATCATATCCCCAAGTCTCACAGCAGTAGCATCCTGGACGTGGATTCCACAACATCCATGAGTGGCTGGACAAAGACTCAGCCTATCTCAGGTAAGCAGAAGGATACTGGATTTGGTGGATTCAATTTGACCACCAATTTTATTTGGAGAAGAGTCTCATCTGAGCATATTTCACATTGAGTATTCAATTAGTATATAAATATAGAAGCATTTGAGTTAGTCTAAATTTGGATTTATGTGTTTTCATTTTTTAGATTTATGTGGATTTTTTTTTGCTCTCTATCGTAGATAGAGCCTGAATAGGAGCATCAAAGAGTCAAAAAATAAGATTACCAGTGTCAAAAGAAGTTCTGTTCCTCAAAAGAATAACTCTTAGGGCCTTCCTTGGTTTGGTGGTAGCCTCTTGGGATTGGCTTACTTAATGTTTAGAATCATAAACTAAGATATCAAAGGAGGACAAAACAGGGAAATAAATAATCAAGTCAAATACCCTACCTCTGAGTCCTGCTTGACGTCCCTATATCAGCTGGTTGTCTTTATCCCTTCTTGAATGTCCCTTCTGACATCATACCACTTTTTCCCTCAAGGAGTATGGCTACTTCACAGTAAATGTAAGTGACTGAAAATTGTTACAAGTCTGATTTCTCCAAGGAAATTAGCATTTTAAAACTTGGAGCTAAAAGAATAATGGAGCTGATTTCCACATTCAGAAAAGCAAAACAGGATCCATGCCTCACCATATGCAAAAAGACATTCAAAATAGATAAGGGCATCAATGTGCGAATGAAGACCACAAAATTCTCAGAAGAACAAGCAGGGGCAATCTGTCAGATCTAGCTTTCAACAATGGTTTATCTGATATAATAATAACAAAGTACCAACATCAAAAAATGAGACCTCGGAAATACTTTCATCAAAACACTACCAAAAACTTGAAAAGACAAGCTACCAATTGGGACATTATTGTTGGAAACTGTTCATCTGACAAGAATCTAACACTAAATTAATATATATAAAACACTTTGACAACAACACAGATCATAAAATCATAAAATATTTCACTAAAGAGGGCACTCATATAGCCAAGCACATGAAAAGATGCTCAGTGTTATGAGCCATCAGAGATTCAAATTTAGCTCACAGATATCGTTTCTTTTCCACTAGGATGAATTAAGGCAAAAAAAAAAAAAACAGTCTAAAAATGTTGGTGAAGATGTGGGGAAATTGGAATCTTTATTCTGGTGAAACTGCAAAATGGTATTGATAGAAAAAGATGGGCCGAAACACGGGTCTCAAGTAGCAGACTTATTGGGAAGTACAGCCTGCCAGCCTACTCCAAGGATGGGAAGAGTAGCCCAGACACAAAGGAAGGCATGGACAAACCAACGCTCGGGGGTGAGATGTGTGGCAAGGGTTGGGAAAACACCAGATAGTTCCCTGATTGGCAAGTTTGAATGAAGGGGGTGCTGTGGCCTTTGGCGCCGACAGGAGGCTTTTGGCTCGCAAGTGGCAAGTGGGAAGGTGTAGAGGGTGGAGAGAGTCTGTGAGCAAGAAACATGGGAGGAAAATGTTTGGAATGGCCAAGCCTAGTTTTATACTCAGCTGGACCCATTAGGGTATGGCTCAGTGGGAAAGTCTGGTAGTTCTTCTGAAAACTGAAAATAGAACTACTATAGACCCAACCCAGCACAATTCCATTCCTAGGGATAGCCCAAAAGACTCTAAAGCAGGCTCAAAAAGACTTGTACACCAGTGTTGCAGCACTATTTACAATAGCCAAAAGGTGGAAATAACCTAAATACTCATCAATGGATAAACAAAACGTATAGCTGAATACTACTTGGCTGATAAGAGAAATGATGTCTTGATAGTATGGATGGAGCTGAAAAAATTATGCCAACAAAAATAAGACAATCATAAGACCAATATTCTATGACCTCACTTATATAAAAAGATAAGAACAGGTAAATGTAAAGAGGCTAAAGTTTATTAGTAGTTATGAGAGGTAGGAAGAAGGGGAAAAGAGGCTAATCATAATGGAAAATTTGCATTGACAATTATTGTAATGGCTGCCAATAAATTGTAGATCTGTAAAAAGTTGATTTGGAAAAAAATTATGTGATAGATGTATTTAAAACAACAACCAAAAGGGAAAACAAGTAACTGCTGAGACTGATTATGTATATCCAAACACTTCATGGAATCTGGCTCCTTGGTTTGGGAGTTTAGGGTTATGGTTTCATGGGACAGCCAGGTAGCTGGCCTAATAAAGCATTCAGTGCTTCTGTTATACCTTCTAGTTATTGTACCTGGGGTTTTAAAAGCTTGCAAGCAACCATCTAAAGAACAACAATTGGTCTCTATTCACCTGGTGGAGCAACAGAGGAAGGAGAGTCAGGAATAGGAGGAGAACTTGGAATGTGTGGCTAATTGAAAATGGAATGTGTGACTAATTGCCTTCATGAACAACTGCTTCTTTTGTAATGAGACTATGAGAACTGAATGGTGCCCAAGATACCATTACAGAGCACTGCAATCAAAGATTCTATAGAAGAAGTCTGATTAGAGTTTCAGGGGGTGGGAATTCAGAACAGAAGTCAAATTTTCATGGAATCCAAAGTTTCTGAAGCTGTGGAGGGTAGATTAATCCATGAAACTATTGCCCTAAAATAATCTTTAAACCTTAAACCAAAAATATCCCTTGAACTCATCTTCAAACTGAAAAATACCCCTGACATCAAGCCCCATACTTGGGTAAACAGAGCTGATTAGAACAGGAGATTGAGCAGTGTAGGGCAACGCATAGGCTGCAGCTCAAGGTGGATATGTACTTGCATAGACTCCTCATACTGATAGTGTCCAAAGTGCTGTGTCACTTGGAAAATTGATGTCATCAGTGCAATCACTTTCTACCCCAGGGCGATGATTGACAATGCTGTACTTTTTTGTTTATGTGGGTTTTTGTTCTCCTGCTTTTAGCTTTTCTCCCTCCCTCATCCCCCTCCCTCCATTTGATTGTTTCTTTGTTTGCTGGCTGGTTTGTTGCTGGTGCTGGTGCAGTTGGTCCTATGAAGGTTAGATTTTGTCATAAGATGACTGCCAAAGTAAATCTCAGTTGTTATATTCCATGGAAAAGCAGATGGATTCTGGGCTCCTCCTTAACCATAGTCCCAATCCAAGAACAGTTAGTTCTGTTAACATGGCTCTGCTTGATACTCTCCTGCATGAAATGATCACTGAAGATAAGGTGCTACAGCAAAGTGTGGTGAAGAAAGCAGATGGTGCTCGGCTATCAAATGGACTAGGTCTTAAAGGCTTGTATTCAAACAAGCAGCCATCTAAGCAAGTAAGTAGTTAACTATGTCCACATGATGGAAGAAGCACACCAGCCTGTGTGATCATGAGGTGTTGAAGAGATCAGGTATCAGGCACCAAAGAACAAAAAATCATGTCATTGTGAATGAGGGGGAGTACGGAGTGGGGACCCAAAGCCCATCTGTAGGCAAGT